CGAACCCACAGGCTCAGGCAATCCACTCACCTCGGCCTCCCAAAGTGCTAGGATTACAGGTTGAGCCACCGAGCCCGGCCGCTTCCCGCATCTTGATGGAGGAATAGCCGGAGACCTCTAGAGCCCCGGCCCGATGAAGACTCTCTGGTTAGGTTATTGTACCAAGAAAGGAGCTTTTCCCATTGGGCCACCCTGAAACGGGTCTTGTCCTCCTCTCCTTCCTGAGTCTCCATTCCTTATGGTGAGTAGATGATGCCGTGGTCAAGGAGAGCAATTCTCACAGGTCTTAGGGAACCCTGATTGGGAGAAAGGGTTAAGATCTGGGAGTATTTGATGGGGAAAGCCCCTCCTTCTTAGAAGGCAGCTTTTTAGGAATAACTTGCCTAAGAGAACCACTACCCTAGACAAGTTGTAATCATGTAATCGTCAGACCTCCAGTCTCCAGGTCAGTAGAATTCATGAACTGCCTGTATCAGAGTCTTCCAGGGAGGGATCTGAACAGCAGAATTCCTGAGTTGTACCCAGAAGCTCGCAAATCAAAATTTCTAAGGGGAAAAGCTCAGGAGTCTGCAACTGATTTTTAACCCCATTCAAGTCCAAGACCCACTGCTTTGCAGCATCCCTTCCCTGGGAGTTTTAAAGTTTCCAGAGTCAAAATAGTATGCTCCTTTCTCCTACTACTTTTAGTATCTTCTAGGTAAGCCAAGGAAGGTTTTTACTTAGCAAAGTTTGACTTTTGGGGAGTACTCTGTTGGGGGTTTGTGGGCATCTCCAGAACCAAAGGCTTTGGTGCTGAAGGCTAAGAGTGTCATTTGTCTATGATCTTATTCCTCTGTCCCTGCAGCCCCACCAGCTACTGGAAGTCCCTCGCCCCTGACCGGTCAGATGATGAACATGACCCTCTTGACAACACCTCCAGACCCCGATACTCCCGCAACTACATGAGTGACAGCGACACAGAGGCCAAGCTGACAGAGACCAACGCATAGCCCAGGAGAGTGGTTCTCAGCCCTCTCACCCCATAGCCTATGGCTGTCTGGGCACTTCTCCCAGGAAGTGGTGGGGCACCGATCCCCCCATCCAACTGCTGATCTGCATGGGAAACACCCCAACCCTCTTCTGTCTGGGGGACTTTCCAGGCTGTGGGTGTCTGACGTCTCCACGTGGAAGAGGTGGGGAAAAGAAGAGTTTCTGAGAAGAAAACTCTTTGCTCCTCCCTGCCTCAAAAATACCACACTCTTGGCTTCTACCGTGGGCCACCGTGGGCAGTGGCAGGTGGCCTGGCACTGCATGGAGCCAGCAAGTTGACCTCTATCTCAGCTCCCTGCTCAGGGACGGTGGACAGATTGCCTACTGGGACACTCTAGGTTGCTGGGTCCATGGGAGGAATTGAGGGAGGGAGCAGCAATTCCTTCCCTCTGGTTTGGGGTGAGGTCTTTCTCTTCTCGGTGCCTGCTGTCTTCCTACTTTTTAATTTAAATACCCAGCCTCTCCATTACAGCTGCATCCCTCAGAGTGGGAGGGTATTGCAGTGGTACCTGGGGTCCCCAGAAACCACTTGGGAATCTCATCTTCATTTTTCAGAGAGCAGTCCTTTCTCTGCGCAGCTGGAGACACTGGTGAGCAGGGCTGGGTCCAGGTTCCTAAGGGTCAGTGTCGGGTGGAGCTCCCCGGTGATTCCGGTTTGGATTGAGCAAAACTACACAGACGGTGCATATGGACCATCCGGAGCTCCCAACCCCCACCCCACCCTCTTCATCTCAGCGTGTTAAGTGCAATGACCTATTTAAGAGTAAACCCATTCCACCTCCACCAATTTGGGGCTTATCCAAGCACTGCCTGCCTCCCCCTCTGTCAAAGTTGCCTGGTCCATAAGCTCAACTTGAGAGGGAAGGCGTTGGGTTGAGGGCTTTTGATTAAAAATACTGAAGATGGAAGTTTTGGTCAGTGCTGATGTGTATTAGATACAAGTCCTCACCCTGTGTCCTGAGCCTGTGTCGTTTTTCTTTTTCCAACCTCCCTGCCCCCACACATCGGACACAACATGTGGTCTGAAGGTCCCAACCCCCACCCCAGAAGGTTATCCTGACAACTCCACCAGACTTGGGGGCCCAAGGGCAGTGCCTGGTGCTGCTCCCTTCTGCTGTCCCCTCTTCTCTCCTGCAATTGGTTTGTACTCATTGGGCTGTGATCTCTCTTCCCTATTGACCTGATATATGGAAATAAAGGCCCTGTTTCTCCTGGCTAAGCCAATTTTCCTGCCTGTTCCTTCAGGTTCAGGTATAGTCCAGTGTGGTCATGGGAGGTCCCAGCGGGAGAGGCAGGATTCTGATGGGAACTGCAGGGGAATCACCCTGGTCTCTGCTCTAGCCTGCTCCCAGCTGCCACTTAGAGAGCCTTGGCAGGTCTTTTGGGGCAGACAGACATAGTGGGCTGAGGAGATTGATCAAGGAAGACACACCCCTCCCTTTTATGTTAAGAGCCTATGGATTGTGATTCAGGTTGGGGGAGGCCAAGCCTCATCCTCCCTGGCCTTCACAAGGGAATGTTGAGATTCATCTGATTGTTAAATCTCACCAATTACAGATATTTGATTTTTTTTTTTTTTTTTTTT